ATTATTATTGTTATTATTATTATTTGTAGTAGTAGTAGTCCGGTCTATAAAACCGAAATTAACGGCCGTGGGGATTCGTTGCGCTGACCACGCGACACCCTCTATCCTCTAAAGTTGGCACTAACTTCGCCTACAAGCGGCGGTCGCTCGGTCGATATATTTCGCTTGCGGGCTAAAGCCACGGAGTTAGTAGTGGTAGTAGTAACAATTTTTCCAATATGCTGTTTCCGAAAATACCCTCGTTGCTGTTGTTTCTATAATTTTCTTTTGTAATGTAATTCCTGGTACCTGAGCTGTGCCAACACAAACTGCATTGGTCTTGTAGCTGTTGGACTCGACATATAAATAATAAATAATTTACTTGAATTATTTAAATGATAATAATTGCCTTGTTTTGTCTTTTGTTTGTGTGTGCACTTTTCTTTACTCTGCTGATTTGAAAGTGTCCATTGGTCACTAATTAAGCCTGCAAATAAATAGTCGCAAATGAAATATGTAGTAAAACCAATATTGTAGACAATCATTTCATTAGTATCTAACTTCTGGTTAATTAGATTAATAAGCAGTAAATGTATTTTGTTGCATCCACTGTCATTAAAAAAATTATGTTTTTCCTGCATATAGCAAGCAGTAGAATGCCTTATATATTATGTAAATAATATAATATTGGCACGTGTTGGGTGTATGTCACGCGACAAATAACTTCACGCCGTATTGGATATAGCGAATTTATTGAACACTCGCTCTCACAATTACACCACTACTGCCATCTGCAGTATCACAAATATTTCTCCTGTAGTCATTTCCATTCACTCGATACAACTCGACTCGGCGAATGCTAGACTGCAACTGACTGGTTACTCCTCTCTCTAGTAACTGGTTCAGTACTCACTACTCACTACTCTAGTAGCTTCCTCACTGACAACACAGAAAACAGTTACGCGATAGCTACCACTGTTGCGTAACGTCGTGTTTACAGGCTTTGCTGAGGAACGCTGCCGAGAATTGTTTATTGCTGCCTAGTAACCGCGGTGTCCCCTGTTACGTCACCGCGGGAGGTGACGGAGTTTTTACCGAGCGTTGGGTAATAATGGAAGGGGTAGGGGGTATGTGACATCACTCGCGAGACCGCAGAGTTCCCGTGACCACTACTTCCCGTTGCGCAATCCACGTTACAATATGTAAATATTTTTTTCCCATGTTTTTGTGTTGTGTTCTTGACTTTATATTTATTTGATTGTGCACACTCTATAATATCCACTTGCATCTGTTGAGTTAGCATTTAGAAATAAAAAATTGATTAAATTAAGGGGTATTTGTTGCAAAATTTTAGTTACAGTACTTTACCTATAAATTTTCTCAGCTTCTTTAGAAATTTCCTTCGTTTTCTTAACTTACGGGTGCGCAGATGAACAGTTTGGACTTGCCTACAGTCCCACGGCTGCAAACTCTGCTCCCATTTTGCTTGCTGCAAAAATAAATAAATGAGTTTTGGCTATATATCTCCAACCCTTAGGCAATACGTTCTAATGTATCATGTCTGTTGGCTTCAGGGATACACACTGCAGTATCTGATGACTTGAAATCAACAAATGCAGATAGAACTAGGTAGAATCTTGTAGCAAAGAATTTCTCAATGGCTAGAAGCCAAACACGGACTGACACGTTTAAATCCTCGGAACAAACATGTCCAGTTACGAACAGAAGAAATGTCAGAATACGCACCCGCTCAGAGTCCGATGTCGCGGGGGAGACCCGCTGTGTTGAATCAGTGGTATAATGCAACCCAAAATCGCGGCGAAGTGCAAACACATTTCTCTGTAGACTGAGGGACTTACTTGCGTCTAGAGCAATGTGTGTACTACAGCTGTTAGTCTCTGGTGGCTGGAAATTCCTTATCCAGGGGAGTACAAATTACGTCATTGCAATTTTACTACTTCCGAGGCCGACGCTATATATTCTAGCTACTGAGGGAAACGCGGCGGCCCGGGTTCGATCCCGGGTCTGGTCAAGTGGGATTTGTGGTGGACAAAGTGGCGCTGGGGCAGGTTTTCTCCGAGTACTTCGGTTTCCCCTGCCAATCTTCATTCCACCAATTGCTCCACAATCACCCTCACCTATCATCTGGGGCTGGTACGATAGGACAGAAGTGGCCGCAGTACAAGGAACTTAGTCCCACCCCACTAGCAATAAAAAAATACTGAGGAAATCGTTAAATAACTTCTCTCTCTCTCTCTCCCCGGGGCTCTACAGCCTTCTGTTGGGCCGTGACCACTTTTTCAGTTCCTTAATCCTGTACAAAGTCGGCAGGACTCCTTGGACGGGGGATCAGCCCGTCGCAAGGTCGCTACCTTCACACAAAACAACACAAGGACAGCATAAATACACAGACATCCATGCCTTGAGTGGGATTCCAACCAACGATCCCGGCGTTCGAGCGGCGAAAACGGGTCACGCCTTAGACCGCACAGCCCCTGTGATCGGCGCAAGTATCCTGCAAGTAAATAATAACAACTTCAGTGTTGTGGTCGGTGTTTGTTTTTTAATTATGTATGATTTACTTAAGGTAAAAACGTAAAATTGTCCCTGTGCTCAACGAAGTAAGCACTACGCCATGAAGGCGTAAGGAGGAGTGAATGTATAGATCCACATTTTCTTGACTTCGGCACTAGATGGAGATGTATGGTCAGCTTCACGCCCCTGACGGTTTGCCCCCGGGGAAAGAGCCCCCGTTACCAATTGGATAGAATGTTGGGTGTACCGCAGAGGTGGTCTCGGCGATTTGAAGAAGAGAGAACTACTGATCCTACCGGGACTCGAATTCCGACTCCTCAGTCGTCTGGCCCGTAGCCAGTTGCTATACCGACTACGCTACCACGGCTCCAATGGTTAATTATATATTATTTATTATACTGCAATTGGGTTTTAGCCCGGTGGCAGTAGTACACAATAGGACACAACAGACAAGTAACACACATTACACTAAGTGACAACACGTTCAAACAAAACACAATACACAAAACACAACAATAAGGACATCCTACCACAATACTACCAATGAAGAAGGTTAACAATTTTTACTCTCCTCCAAATATAGTTAGAACGATCGAGTCAAAGAGAATATGATGGGTAGGACATGTAGCACTTACGGCATATGGAAGGAATCCGTACATGGTTTTAGTGGTGAAGAGACCACTAGGAAGACCTAGACGTAGATGAAAATGTAATATGAAACCGGTCTTAGAGAAACAGTATGAAGTGGTATGGACTGGGTCCATATGACTCAGAATAGGGTCCAGAGGCGGACTTTTGCGAACATGGTAATGAACCACGGTTTCCATAAAATATTGTGGAATTGTTGAGTAGCTGAGCAACTGATGGCTTCTCAAGAAGATCTCAGCCCCATAGAGTTAGATAGTTGCTCAGCTTTTATAGCGTCTAATTGTAAAATGACTAATGATTAGGGGGCCGTGGCCCAATTTCAGGTACTTCCCCGGCATTGCCTTTTCTGACTGGGGAAAACTACGAAAACCTTCTGTCAGGATAGCCTGTCCCCGAGCTGAGATTCGACATCGGGTCCGTCCCGTATACAAATGAAGCATGCTGCTACCCGCTCGACCACGAGACTCGGTCCGGTGTTCGGTGGGTGCAGTACATCAAATTATTTGGAGTGTGTGAGAACTGGAAGAGAGAGAGAATTGTGAAAGCATATTAAGGGGAAGAGGACAGCAATAAATAGTCCAGTTGTTGCCGTGTCCATCGCGTATGCAGATTAAGGGGGCGCCTGTTACTCTCTGTCGCAATGTTGTGCAAGAAAGTGGAGAAAATTAATAAAGCAGGACGCTCAGAAGACGCAAGGGAAACTAGAGATGCAGATGTACGGATTCTTAACCTCTGTATTAGACGGAAGTCCACGGCTCCAGCGGCTTCACTTCTGGACAAAGAACCCTCCAGTACTCATTTGATATAAGGCTGGGTGGCGCCCAGGGGCGGTCTGGGTGCTGAGGTGAACAGAGAAACGTGTCGCCTCTTCCGGGAATCAAACCCCGATAGAGATCATCATAACAAAACTACCAAATTCAAGGAGAAAAAAAAAGATGGAAAGAAAAGAAAATTAAAGAAATGAAGGCGAGGTGAAAGTAAAGTTTCTTTCTTCTATATTGAAGGATTAGGCCCCTATGGCCTGATTTCCCCTCAGAATTAATCTGGAACTATGGTTCTTACAGAGAGTCAGTAGGACTCCTTAGACAGGGGATCAGCCCTGTTTTAAGGCAGCTACCTATACAGAAAAACAAAAGAAATATCTACAGACACGTGTTTCGAGTGGAATTCGAACCCACGAGTCCAGTGTTCGAGAGAGAAAGACGTTTCGTGCATTAGACCTCGCAGCCACTGTGACCCGCAGGTAAAGTTATTCCTGTTCTTAATTAAATAATTAAGCACTATTCCATGAAGGCATATGGAGGAGTGGAGGTACAGCATCATACACCCATCGGATTATATCAATGCATTTGTTAGGCGTACGTTTATGTTGGGATGGAGAGCCTGTTCACTTCGAATACTTGATCTCGGCAATATGTGAAGGTTTGTTGGCTGCTTCACGCTCCCGCCCCTTTACTCCAGGGGATAAAGTCCCCGGTAGCCACTGGATAGGAGTCGCGCTGGGCCTGGATGCTATGGAGAAAAAAAAATCTCTTGCCTCCGCTGGGAATGGGACCGCAAGCCATCCAGCCCCTAGTCTAGTCCCTATACCGACTGAGCTAACCCGGTTCCCGAATAAAGAAATAAAAACGGGAAAAGGAAAGAAGGACCAGAAGAAACAAAATTTTCGAAAGGGACCGTCTCACTCACTGAGGTCATGCAGTTTGCAATTTTGATCCTCCCTGATCCCGACATTTTATAGCGATCAGAAATCCATCTTAATAAGAGTACGGAAGGACATGAGAAGGACACAGCTGTAACTGAGGAGGAGGAACAGGATACAAAGCGCAGTGTTTGCTTGCGGTTTACCACGGTCAATTGACTGCAGTAGAGGCTACGAGCCCTACACAAGTTGTCCCCCCACTCTGACATGTCCAAATATTGTCCGAGCCACTCTGTTTACGGACAGATGTACACGTGAAGCTTCAGCACGGAAATGAGTCCCTCGGATGCGATATATGAAGGTCGGGAGTAGTCCCAAATGCAGTAACTGAGAGATGATGCCAACTTGAAACTGCTTATGACTTAATGAGCTGATTAATTTGCTTTTTTTCCCCCTTGGTACTACAGCCCCAGTGGGTCTAGGCCTACCTTCATGAACTTCTCCTTTCACTTCGGTTTTTCTAGATCTAACACATTCGGTAGGACCCCTTGGGCGGGTGATCAGCTCGTCGGAAGGCCTCTACCTGTACACAGACACAGAAAAATACACACACACACACACAAACTAAACATCCATGCCCTGAGTGGGATTCGAACCCACGATCCCGGTTTCCAAGCGAGCGAAGACAGTACATGCCTTAGACCGGTCGGCTACTGTGACCGGTGATTAATTTTCTTACGAACTAATAATCTATGTAAACCAATGTACTGCCTAAAATTCTCATATAATTCATACGTGTTACATGTCCCGCCCAGCTTGTCTTCATTCGTCTTGTTACTCTAATAATATTCGCTGAGGAGTAAATAAGTAAGTGGAGGTATCCCTGTAACAGGCCGTGGAGGCCCATAGGGTTGTGAGATGTTGAGGTTCCTACATTATCTAGACAATCGGCTCATAGATGGCAGTGAGGTTGTCAGCCTTACGCGCCGGCCCCCCTTTACACCCCAGGAAGATTCCTGGTACTCATTTCTGTTAGAGGCTGAGTCGACCCCATGGCCATAGCGCGGCTGGAAGGATTAGGTCAATTGAAAACAATTCATTGACCTCATTGAGACTTGAACCCTCGACCTTCCGGCTTGTAGCATAGTGTCTCAACCAAGTACGCTACCGCGTAGAAATTATATATTCAGCTACTCATTATGTAACAATTACCAGCTTCCTGTTACACTCTGTGTTTCAAGTCAACTTACCTTAAAATGAAACAACAGATGTTACACCTGAATTCGAAAGCGGGCGCAAAGGAATATTTTCGTGGTGTTACCAGTACCTACAGATATCACCGTTATAAACCAGGTAAAGGTAAAATTGTTTCTTTGCTTTACTAATTAAACACTATGCCATGAAGGCGTATAGAAAAGTTGATGTAAAGATCCACACTTTCTCGACCTCGGCACTAGTTGGAAGTGAGTGGTTAGCTTCGCGCTTTGACCGCTTTATCCCCTGGGAAAAGCCCTCTGTACCTATTGTATAGGAGGTTGGGTGCACTTTAGAACCGGTCTAGACGACGTAGAGAAGAGAAAATTCTTTACTTTGCCGGGACTCGAACTCCGACCTCTCTGTCGTCCAGTCCTTAGCCAGTCGCTATTCCGACCAGCCTCAAATCCACGCATGTATTGTTGATATCAAGGTTTCCCCTTTATAATAAACCCAATGTCCAGACATCTGCTGGCAAAGTATCGTGTTCATGGATCACCGCTTACGCACGCTTTTTATGTTGGTGCCTCGCAAGAAGCTATCCAGCGGGCGCTCATAGAGACACGAGGCCGAGGGTTGCCTGTTGCTGTTCACCGCTTGCAGCACCAGAAAGCGAGGAAAGTATTCAGTGCCTGATGACTCAATGGGGCGCACATGTCATGATTACGGGGGCTTTGTATGTCTGGACCAAACAGATTACGGACAATCGTCCTTAGGCGGATTTCTATTGAACATCCCTTATAGTAATACTGCGAAAATTTGTCCCTTCATAATTAATTAATGAATTAGTAGCTGATTCTTGTGGCGTGGGCTCCCATCGTGAATAAACCTGCGCATTGTTCGCCGTATTCAGATCCTTCCATATAAAGGTAACAGAAGGAGAGATGAGAAACTGGCTTCCATGAACTTCAACAGATAGCCGATCGAGGTGTAAAGCGCTGGTATCCACAGTCGATGCCAATTTATTCTATTGTTACGAAAATGGAAGGTTCGTTAGTAGACAGAACCCCGCTGTTGGACCTATCCTAATTTAATTCCATCCACATCGTACCCAAATTTTAACTTAATTCCTTATTTTTAAAAATGAAAGTAGGTTTATGTGATTACCATGCTGTCTGTGTGTCTGTGTATCTGTGTGACCGTGTATCCCCCTCTATCAACATTAGAATGCCTGAACCAATCTTTATGAAACCTGGAATGTATATCATGGCAACAGAACTCTTTTGAGCGGTGTACTTCATAAATCCCTCCCATCAGTCTTTGTATCCTCCTATCGTTGCTTGGCAACGGCTTGGAACAAACGTTATCGCGGTAATAAATATACAAGCAACAACAGAACAATTGTTGGGCGCGTGTTCTTCTATGCTGTTCATGTAGTATCAAAGGAAAGTAGGCGACTAGTTCTTCCCAGAACTTCTAGTTAATACGATAGTTTT